CGGGAAAGTGCTGCCTGTTGACCGATCTGAAGCAATGTGCGAACAATGAGGCATGCCAATCTGAAGGAGGATCGATGGCTCCAAATGGAAGCCAATGAATTGGAATGGGCCGCTTGCTTGGACATGGGTTTGTCGACAAGACAGGAATGACGCTCCGCGTCCATATGTGAGTTGAAACTGAAAGGTAAAAGCCTATCAAAGCAAGTGGGAGGGGGCGAGAATTGGGGGGTTGAAAACAGGGGGATAAAAGTGAAACTGGAACGGGACGGTAAGAGTGGAAAAGCGAAAGAAGGGGAATAAGAAGACGGGGAGGTTTGAGCAGTAGCATCCAAACCCCTATCCACCTTGCTCGATGCAGCAGATAGGGCACCGTTGATGATCCTCTGCGGTGGTCAGAGCATCAGAAATTTGTTTGAAGTGAGATTCATCGTATTGCGTGGGCAGGATACTATCAGGTTGAGCAGGCCTAGACAGGAGAACGATAGGATTCTCAACCAAAGCCTTTAGTTCAAAAACCTGATCGCAAGGCAGCGGTCAAGCATAGGCTCATAAAAAAAACGAAGATGAGATGAAGCGCCGAGAGTGAGACAGGAGACTACAATAACAAACGGCCAGGTACATAGTTAAGATTAGACGTCCGGACAATAGACGTTGACGTTCCGCAAACTAGCTAACACGGGTCTACGATTAGCATGTAGAACAAGCCCAAAATGCATTTAAAGATAGGAATACACTGGTAGCGATGATGCCGGGATCAGCATGCGTGTCCTGTCCAAAAGAAAGCGAGGTGCTCAAATAGGGCGCAAACGAGCCGATACAGCAGACTCGCGACAATGGTGGTGTGCAGAACTGAGTTTGAGTTTTCGTCTCCTACTTGCTGGATCACGAAACGCGTACATCAGACATGTGAAACAAGTGGTCCCCCGCATTCACATCTGCAGCCCGCACAAAACATACGTTAAATTGATGAGGTAACAACCTGAATTACAGTTTATAATTTAAAAGAGATAAGGGCGCATTGTTAAAAAATAGTGCGCCTTTCCTTGGAAATAGCCTATTCCCGTTAGATCGATATTAATAGCACAAAGAAAACACGATTGTAACTACGAGGCAAGCAAGCCAAGAACGCTAAAAACAGACATGACACTAGTCTTCAGCAACTTCACACATATACGTTATGATCATGACAGTGAGTTCCTCCAGGGGCTCATCGATGGATTCCTGGATGTGGGCGAAGGCAGTGTGACGATTAAACAAGTAATCCGACTTGGCCAGAAAACTAACCAGTCATGTCGACCCTTGAGAATCACCTTTGCAAATCACAATATGCCGCAGCTCATACTGTCTCGTCTGTCAATGCTGAAAGGCATAAAAGTTCACATCCGCCGGGACTTGGAACCCGAAGACAGGGAACGTTTGAAGACTGCGGTCATTGAACTCAAACGCCGTACAGGGGATGGTGAGACTGACTTACAAATTGTAAATTTTCGGGTGATCAAGAAGGGTGTACGAACCCGTATCAACTGGTTGCTCCACCTCCATGCACGTCCCGCAGTACCTCTCAGGATCTCCGTGTGACATTCGCCGCTTCGCTGTCTCGGAGCGGCCGGACGTTTTGGGACTTGAAGAGATTTGGTTGAACTCCGACTTCATACCCCAAGAAGTCGCCTTGTCACAAAACCACCAATACTCTAAATTTACCATCGCCCTTTGAACACCTGAAGGACAGATACTTCGGTTCATTGGGAAGTGACGAGTGAGTGAGCCAATCTGCAACACCAGGACAGATACTGTGAGCTTATTGGTAATACGTCGCGAACCAAGCAGAAGTCATGTATTAAATTGCGCACCTGATCGTCAGTCCTCGGTAGCTCAGTTGGTAGAGCAGCGGACCGGTAACCCGTACGTCCGGGGTTCGGTTCCCCGTCGAGGCAGATTATTGTGCAGTTTAATTGTGGCTTCTACTTTCTTCAAAAACTATATACAAAACCACCAATACTCCAAATTCTTGTTTCCGATGCGACCGAAAATCAAAGGCTCACGGTGCTGTTCTGTTGTACATAACATTGGCACTAGCTGGCAAAATTACCAGCACCTATCGGAGCGAGGATAATTTATGCGAGCAATTGTAGTGCACAATCCGCCTCAGACAAGTAGAACTAATAATGGGTGGTATCTACAGTAGACCATCAAACCGTTGTTACGATTAGCCACCATATATACAGCAGCACATGAGCCGCCGTCGGTTCTTACTGATGGAGGATCTAAATGTACCTGATATTTTGGCCAGACTTATGTAACGCCGTAAAGATCAAGAAACGCCGGCAATTCGAACAGGAGGTAGCATCCTTGGCCACAACTGCAGCCAGAAGAATATTTGCCTACTTGAAACCTTAACTGAAACCTGGGGGCGATCTACAGGTCTTAGAGAGTTTGAACGGATAGACGCTCATTTCAAACGTGGAGCGCGTGGATGCCTTGGCTACGCACTTCCTTACCGTATTTTCCAGTAAACCGGCGGCTGTTTCAGTATCGGCACAGGTTGCGCCCGTCTTGCTCGGCAGCCTACAATGTGATGCAGTCGGTGTATCAGCTACTCGTCAATCTCGATGGTGCAAAGCCCCCCGGACCACACGGACTTCACCCACTAATACTCAAGTCCCTATCGATTATCATCTCAGCAGCCGTGACAAACCTATTCAATAAATCACTCTCTGGAGGATCTGTCCCCAACAACTGGGAGTGTTCGATAGTGGGACCGCTTCTCAAGGGTGGTGATCCGAGTAAAATAGAGAACCATAGACCGATCTGTTTGACTTCGATATTATCCAAAGTTCTCGAAAAGGTTGTGAAAGAGTGCCTGCTGTTGTTCTTCGAGTCGATGGACATATTGACGTCAGCGCAACATGGCTTTACGAAAGGGCGATCCTGCATCATCAACTTGATGTACGCTAACCACCAGTGGGTAGGGGGTCTCAATGAACAGAAGGATGTTGACATGGTGTACATCGACTCTAGTAAGGCGTTTGACAGAGTGAAGCACGAGGTACTCCTTCGTAAACTGAGGACATACGGAATCGGTGGCACGTTGCTTCAGTGGTTACACGAGTTTATTGTGGGACGAAGGTTTAGAGTACAGGTCAATAACTACCTGAAGACTGATTCCCATCGACCAGTGGCGTGCCTCAAGGAACTGTACTTGGGCCAGTATTATTTCTTATTCATATCTTCCGCAGCAGCTCCAGTCACCATGTGCCCAGTTTGCAGATGATTTGAAAATCTGGAGGATCATTGAGAATCAGGACGACTGCGCTCGCCTCCAGCATGACTTAGAGCGACTGTCAACGTGGTTCACTGAAATGCAACTCCCTCTTAACGCAAGCAAGTCGGAGTTCATCAGTATCACCAGAAGTCCAGCCATTCGATCATACACTTTGGACGGCCAGTTGCTCCACCCTAACACATATGTCAGAGACTTAGGAGTTCTCTCGCGACATGTGAGATCCCTAGAAAATACAGAAATTGTACCATGCGGGACTTCGTATGCTTTGCGTATTAAGACGCAGTTTCTCTACATGGTCCGAAGAAACCGTCCCTCGTCTATTCACCTCGCTCATTAGACCAATCCTTGAATACGGTGCCCCAACCCAGTGGGAAACTGAAAAGTTGGAGAAAATACAGCGTACCGCAACTAGAATGATACGGAGTCTACGAAAGCTTCCGTATGAAAAACGTGAAAGACTAAAACTCTACACACTATCCTACCGTCGAGTAAGAATTGACTTTATTATGACCCATCGAGTACTAAACCTGAATCACTTCCCCATATTGCTGCCAATATTTCATCTGCGGGAACCCTGTAACACCCGAGGACACCGTCAGAAACTCAGGGTCCCCTGTATGAACAAAGCATCACATCAGCTTTGTAGCGAACGAAGAATGGTAAACATATGGAGCAGACTGCCGGAAGGATTAATAGACGCCGATTCTATGAAGTGCTTTAAAACACGTATCGATGATTATTTCGGAAACCTGTGCTTTTGTGAAACAATACACATACAATGTCAAAAGAAGACATCGTATGCTCGGAAATAATGACACCAATACAAATTCTTAACCGAACAAGGATAAACGATTAGCTGATCAGACACAACCGCTGACAATTCACAAATAAATGTTTTTGATTTTTCGTAATTCTATGGAGTTGTACAGAAACCTTTCTACTTGCTCTTAAATACAGTCTCAGATGCAGTGAACCTGTCTTGATCATGAAAAGCGATTTTGAGTGGGATTAGGTGGCTACTTGTTATACCCTCCTAATAAGTTTAAAAGCTTCAGAAAGTGCGGGCGTAGAGAACATGGCAATGTTCAGCTCCAGCCACATTTGTGATCAGTTATCTTCCTTAGTGAAATCAAAAGTGCATTTGATCAACAAAGTTCACCTCCGATAAAAGTTGATACTGATAGATGGATCCGATGGATGCGCAATACTGATATGAGACCCAACAAGCCGAAACGGCCGTCTAATGCATTTCCGGGCATGTACCTGATTTGGAAGGTACTGCGAATAACGCAAGCAATTAAAGTACTGCGTGATAACTATTATATATAAATATAAATAGTAGGTTATAGTAAATGACTTCTATTAAGTGTCATGCGCAGCTCTCATGACGATATAGATGCAGACCCTACTGCCTTCGGGAGGTCGGTTCAACTTTCTTGGAGCACATGCAGTAGAGCGAACTCTTCTCCTGTGACTTTTGTTAGAGAAGGCGCAGTAATTGTAAGGAGCAGCCTAAAGGATAGGAAACTGAAATTAGAGTTTTCTATTTCTATTGAGGGAGAAGGAAGAATGCCAGAGGAATTAGATTTGACGTAGTACGAAAGCATGCAATCAGTGGTCGGGCGCGAGAACGCTACTAGACTGAAAAAATGTTACGTGTTTGGTTACTTCCAAGTAGTAAGCTGTAACAAGTAAGATGTAACCTGCAGACTCGCACTTTGTCGATGATTCAGATCCGTTGGCATCAGAAGCATAGGCTGATTCTGCAGTCAAAACTGGAGGACTCGGTGCTCGACCAACGCGATACGGCCTCCAGTTCACCTTGGTTCGAGTTCTGTGACACTCTTCAATCCACTTGTCGGAGACAATGATGCCTTTGCCTCTGACTTCCTTGAATTTCGGAGTATTCGCAAAAGCACAGCTGTTAAAATGGCATAACGAATAAGTTAGTCATGGAAATAGCACAAACTGAAGGTAGATTTAGAGACAGTGTAAGGTGATAGCAGAGGAAAATGCCATAGGCGTGCGCTACCAAAAGAGCTGCTATATTTGCAACATGGTAGCTACGCCCTATAGATTCTAATGGCGTTTATAGTTAACATCTGATATGATTCCGTCGCAATTTATTACCACCATTTTCTGCTCCTCAGAAAACGGGCTTTCGCATGAAAGGTGGGATGAAGAATTGCTTTGTCAATTAAGTGGCCGGGAACTCTGCCGCTAAAAGCAAACTTTTTGACTAGTTTTTTGTTTGTTCCTTATAAATCAATGTCTACCCGCCTGAACCCAACGAGCAAGTCTAATGCTAATCAGTGCGCTTCCACTGTGAGTGGTATCATCACTTGCCACATCAGATATAAGAGAGAAGGAAAGTTGTCGTAATACATTCCAATCAGATGATCGTGTCATGCTCTAATTGTGAATCGATAATGAGACCGTAGTTGGAAAGGGGAGCTAAGGGTGGGGGACAAAGAAACGCACAACACCAATGCCACCAACACAGGTGTGCATCGTCACCTTTCCTCTTTAACTTCGCCACTGACGAAGTCATGGACACTGCGTTCAGTGGGCACGACCCGCGAGGTGTGGAGCCACTTCCTGGTGAGCGACTTCTTGACCGGGAGTATGTCGGTGACATTGCCCTAACCTTTGACAGCTGCCAAACATATTAAGCTGCAATGGGTAAATTAACGTCGGCTGTCAATCGTTTGCTGTGCTATGCGCCCTCAACTTGCAAAGTCCCTCTCCAAGATTGACAAGGGACCACTCGTGCGCTGACTTTGATGGGGATCAGCTTGAAGTTGTCCAGAAATTTAAGTATCTAGCCAACCATATTAGCACCAGTGGAAGAAAAGAGGAGATCTCGAATCGCATAGGAAGAGTTTGACGTGCTTTTGCCAATCTCCACCTCCAGTTGCGCCGAGGCGACATCAATCTCGCCCTGAAGGACCGTAAACATGCAGCCGTGCGTGCAACCCTCTTATAGGATTGTGAGACCTGGGGCATCAAGTCGACAGACATAAATGGGCTAGTTACGTTCGATCATCGCTGCTTCCGCAGCTTAGCTCACATCTGCTGGGAAGACCGTATGAGCAATGAGCGTGTTTAGCGTCGCGTAATTGGCTCAAGAAAAGCTAGTGAACAGCTCAGCACCGTTATTTCACGCACCAGGCTCTGATGGCTGGGTCAAGTGTTGCGCATGCCAGCCCACCGACTCCGGCAACGTGCGTTATTTGACCGACAGGGGTCTAGAGGGAAGAATATGAAGGGAGGCCAACGGACGCCAAGTTCGAAATGATGGTTTTCATTTCTCTCGACCAAGTCATTGATATGATTTGGACGAGAGTAATGAAAATCATCACGTCGAAGTTGGCGCCGGTTGATGTCGCCCGACTGTCGGGTTGGGGTCCAAAGGACCATGAACCCGTCAAGTTGGATACATTTGTTGACACGGCGAAGAGCCGACCACAATTGCGTCTGTGTTGTGAGTTTCTTAATCCCTCTCCCAAGTTAGTTTTACCTCCAACCACCATCTCACTTCCGATACATAATATTGTTACTTGTTTTTTGGTGTTTATTTTGCATTATTAATGATTAGTGCCTCACGTTGTCACCGGCGTTCACCGAAACGGGCCCGGAGATTGGCACATAAAAGTGCATCGTTGGAGTTCACACTTGTGTGCGTAATCGAGCAACAGTTTTGAATTAAGCCTCTCCAACGGTAGCTGATCGTGATGGGACCAGTTTGCATCCACGACTGATTGGAAGCTAGCGCGTGTTATGTGGCCCTGTAGTGACCAGGATGAAGCGAGTCATGACAGTACTGTACAATATTGTGAAGATGTGTGGAAGTAATGGAAAAGAAAGACGATGTTGGAGATAGAATATTAGGGGGGAACAAGGCGTGATGTACCAAGAGAAGGAAAGCCGGGTCAGAGGTCAAGGGAGTGCTGGAATAGCCCAGGTAAATGAAAGCTGCACGGAAAACACCTGAGAACGGACAGAGAAAAGCGCATGAATTTTCAAAATACAAGTGACTCATTGCCAGGTTGGAACCAGAAAGAAAACATACATCAGATGTGTGCAATCAGAAGTCCAATTCTGGCGGAAGTTAGCTCCTAAATCCAAAGCTTTTCTTCGAAGTTCACTGCGTAGAGGATTCTGGTAGCCACTGATACTGAACACCACACCACTTAGAGGCCTGGGTGATGAAGGTACCACAGAAACGGAGGGCGTACACTTTGCAGTGGATGAGAAAGAACCCGGTGTGACGCGGTTCGATCGGTCCTCTGATAGAGTGCGTTCGGACGGAATGCGGCTTACGGGAGTCGCAGGCTGTTTCACAGGAATCACTGGTGAAGCAGTGGTGCGGCCAAAAGAAGTATTATCACGTGACGTTGATGTTGAGGCTGAGGTGAAGACGGAACGCAAGTAGCACACTTAGAGGATAAAGTAATTAATGAATGCACTAAAGATTTGTGGTGGATCGAGAGCGGTGTGATTTGGTGTTTCGGAATAATGTTGGTCAGCCCATACGCAGACGTCGGCGAACTGAACAGGCCGTCTGAACAATAGAGGCGTATGTAGCGTGGGATGGCTGTTGCTAACCGAGAATTCCGATACATGCAAGGTCAAGCAGAGATAATTAGGCGCGTGTCGTGACAGCCGTCGCGAACCCTATCAATGGCCATGCACTCGAGCAGTGTGTCAATACCACATCTGGTACATCCGATCGTTTAATAGAGTAGGGTAGTGTGAGAGTAAATAGGTCAACACGATAAAGGCACTTTGATGGATTGAATTGGAAATGAAGGAAAAGCCAGCTTTGAAAGTGAAAGATTTAGACGATGAAAGTAATGCGGCAAACAGCCTCCTAGTATGCGTACACTGAAGACCAATGAGCTGTACTGTCTTACAAAGCCCTCATAGACTAGAAGCCAGACAAACTCAGTACTCTAATAGGTTGGGAAAGTATCTTTCAACCAAGGTGCTGGTGTTTAGCTAACGGGCAGTCTCCTGGACCAAAAGCTTGGCATGAGAACTTGGGTGATGCAAGTCAAATGCAGCTACTTGATGTCACAATGTGCATTTTCCAATCGCAGAAAACGAACACTTGTGCCCAATACCTCATCGTGCGGCGCGGAGAAGGATGTTAACGCAAGCTTCTTCCGCCCCATTCCTTCGACGGAATCCGGATCAGAATGTCATTTATCCCCCTATACATAAACGTTAACATTACTGAAAGTATGTTCTCTTCAAATTTCAGTGCGCATACAAACGCATGACAGAAAGCAACCAAGATGGCGGATAGCCTGACTGGACATGGCAGCAAGTGCTGCTGTAGTTGGTGGCGTCCACACCGGAAAGCACCCGTTAGATATCGAGTTCACTGCCCACATTCCAATCCTTACCCAAAACTCTTGTCACTTTCAGATAATGTCCATACAGTAACAGCCATTATTAGCTGTCGCCCCAGTTGCATAAAAACAAAGACTAGAAAAGCACCGACTGACCACGGTTCGGAAAACAGTCACATGTGCATCTTTAAGTCCTAGTCAGAATAGGAATTACACAATTGCAAGGGATAATTCATCAACAGTGCCCTTAGCGTCCTCATAAATCGTATTTTTGATGAGAAAAGATCCAGGAAATATCGCCGGTCGCAAGCACCGATAAGCCACATAAAAGTGTAGGTGTCGTCAAAATGACTGAGGACCTGAAATTCCAAATAATATTTGATGGAGAGGTTGACAAAGACGGTCAAGGGGTTGAGGAAGGTAAATGCAAAAATGGAGGTCGGATGGTTGAATTTTCGCAAGTGCTAAGACTGTAGAAGTATACTGAGCCTATCGCCCTATGTCGTAAGAAGGAAAAATGCCCAGTGAAGACCTATTCGTTCAATGAGAAAAACACTCGAAGTTGTTTTAAAAACATGCAGGATTGTCACGTAATACGAGAGTAGAGCAATAAGTTTCCGGATGAACAGGAAAGTTTTATTTTTTACAACAACATAAGCATTGCACTTTCTCGAAGTACTCTCTACCAGCGTTCATGCACAATTCCATTCGCTCAAACCATTTGAGAAGCAGCTAAAGCATGCCGAAGCGGGTAACCCTTCAAGGTCTATACTACAGATTCTGGGGACTCGTAGTGGATTCCACGCATTATGCACTTGACAAATGGGAACAAAAAATGTCCAACGGAGCCAGGCCTGGACTGGTGGGTGACCAACCTCCTGGATGCATTCTCTAGCCAGAAAATCCACGACGACATGGGACGTGTGTGCAGGTGCGTTGACATGGTGCAGTAAGGTATCTCGTGCTCCAGTTTTTGGACGACGCCTGACTACAGCTTTTGGCACTCGTGGTAGATAGTGGGTGGCATACTAGTCTCCGGTGACCATGCGTTGCGGTACGAGCAATACAGTAGCCACATGACCGACATTGGCCATGAACACAGCCTTAATCTGCTTGGCCACACTGCGCTCACGCCGGAACTTCTGAGGCGGCGCCCCATCAATGGCCATCCACTGAGTCGATTATTGCTTGGTCTCTGGGTCGGAACTGTACACCCAGGTCTCATTACTACTGAGGACCTCCCAAACAGCGCTGGAACGTTCACCATGAAACATGGCAAGCATAGTGGGGCACCAATTCACCGGAGTTGCTTTCTGGTCCTCACTGAGCTGATGGGGTACCCAGCGTGTGTAAGCCTTTCTGAGGTCGAGGTTTTCATGCAGGATGGTGAGGAATGATCCCAAGGAGGTGCCAACGGCTTTCCCCAGCAGTATTAAAGACACCAGCGAGTCCTCCTCCATCGCTTTAACAGCATCAATGTTGTCCGAAATGGTGGCCTCCACAGATCGACCACACCGTGCATCATCATTCAAGTACTGACTGCCACGCTTGAATTCCGCAAACCACTCAAACACTGTGATTTTTGAAGGCGCGTCATCACCAAACACAGCACGCAATCGCTAATCCCTTTGGAGTTGCTTTAAACAAGTGTAGTTATAGCAAAGCATCACCCTCCGATGATATTGAATGTGTGCCATAGTTACAGTCCGGTGTGCGACCCTTTTGACTTGTGCGCAGTGCTGGGCTGCTGATATAGGGTTCCGTGAGTTGAAATCACTGAACAATGTTCTGAATTGATAACGGTTCATATTTTGTTTGCCAGGTCAGCTGCATATAATCTGTGTACTGTGTGTCCAGAAATCTAATGCTCTGTCCTCGGACATGCATCTACCTCCACAGTGGTCAGAGCGGGCTTAAACAAAAAATCATGGTGGCTGACCTAACTACAATGCGTCCGGGAAATGTCTACCGATTGTGATGGACGCACCGTAAATTGCCGCACATTGTGCGCCCTGAGAAACCCCCAAAGAATTCTAACGGCAGTCCGCATTTCCAATCTAGAATTTGAACATTCTTGGGTTGATCTAAAATGGTGCGCTAATTTTCACACTACTTGTATCGTTCCGGTAGCTGGCCATCCAACGCGCTTTCTCATAGCGTTGGCCTCGGATTTTGGATGGGGTTGGGAACTTGCGGTTTACAAGATCGCTTCAACAGGAATCGCACTGTCAAAGGAAGACAGAGAAGAGTGAAAAGGCACTGAACTTTTCTACGGCACAATTACAAATGTTACTATGGCAACAACAGGCACAGAGGCACAAATGAAGCTGATCGAAACGACGAAGTGAAGCATGTGGTTTCGGAAGCGACTTTGCGGAATTTATACAAAGTACTGCTGATCATTTAAATTCTGTTAGAGAAATCCGTTTTGCCGCTGATCCCGGATGTAGTTTCGATGCGTTGTTCAAACACTGGGATGATATGTTCAGAATGGATTCCAGTCCCCAATAGAACTGGAAAGTGCGGCTTCTGCGTCAAAAGCTTGGCACAAATGAACTTTTGGAGGTTCATTAATCACTCAATGCCAAAAACCCCAATTCGGACAAGGCGGTGTCAAAACTCAGTGAAATCTGCGCTGAATTGTCATCACTACTCAGCATTCATTATCAGTGACTGAAAGATGTCGAGCGAGACGCCCATGAGTATAGGACGCTGGCAGACATAGTAAACCGTGAGTGTGAACGCTACGTTGTGATCATCAATTAAAGTCACATATTCGTCAGTGCCTTACAGTCACTGCAAGATGTCCAGGTCCGTACAAGACTTCTTTCGAAGCTAGATCAATACCAAGATAAGATGATAAAGTCCATTACGGCGGAATGCAAGCAACTGCTGACTGAAATATAACATGCCATGGTAAAAAAGGAATTCCGCATCGCCGCTAAATGTCGATGCTGTAACGAGAACAAAGCGAGATGAGTCAAACGATAACATTCAGAAGTTCGGAGTTATTCATCACAGTCTACTCTCGGTCAGAAGTCACAGAGTATACTGCCTACTGATTCTTTGGTTATGCGGTGAGCGGCATTTCTCACGAATCTGCCCATCCAAGAGGCGAACAAGTCAAGTGTCACAAACAAAGCCACAACGAAAAATGCTGAAAGCAAGCGCGACACATGAATGTAGAAAAGTCCTACTCGAAGAATGCCAAAAATACTGGTATCGGTTCTATTTCAGACGTAGCTGATCTCCATACTGAGTTCAGACCCTGTAAACTGTTCTTCACCGCACTTGTCAACAGGATTTCTCCGAAGCTACCATGGGACGGCTTATGACACAACAATAGTTTCCAAGAGCACTTGGAGCCACATCAAGGGACCGAAGACTGTCGCACCTGACAATGTGGCGTGCAACGCGTCTGGTGGAGTTCTGAAGCTGGCTGGAGAAATAAGCTGCATGAAATTCAATAAAACGCCGAGCCTATACCAAGGAGCCGAACCAGTGTGTAAAGTTAGAAGACCGGTACTGCAGACAGTCACGGTAACAACTGACCGATAGTTTAGAACGGGCCGGCGTTAGCAAATAGGTGAACTACTCTTCATGGGTCGTGGTGAAAAAAGGTACGTGTTTGCGTGGATCTGTCGGTTAGTCTGAATGCTGCGCATGACATCTGCCAGTACCCATCACTAATTTCGGAAAGATTTTTCTCGGAATTGAACAGTGATACGTGCTTTGCCAAGCGTTATTTGTTCAAGGATTACATTCAGGTGGTTGTTGTCGGAAACTAGAGCGATAGAGACGCTGATAATTAGTATTCGTCGTAGATTGTTCCAGCACAACCGATTACCTTTCGGTGTGGAAACGGCGTCAGACGCTTTCCAATGGCCGATGAACATCATACTCGGAGGACAAAAATTCAATCGGCAGCACGGAGTAAAGCAACGCTCATTTAATGCCGAAGAGCCAGTATTCGCACGCGACCACGGGAAAGACCACGTATCATAGGTTCCAGGCAAGATCAGATGTCATCCATGATGCACCCATTAAAGCGC